CTTTTTTGGCTCATTTTTAAAAGAAGCTTTTTGCTATACACCTCTAAAAAGATGACATCATTAGAGAATATGTAAATATTGAAATCTTTGTTGCTTCTACAGTCTTTGAAAAGAGTAGTGCAAACACTACTTCTTCCATCGGCTTACACACACTGAAAAAGTTCAGAACACAGAGTCTCTTAGAGTCAGACATTCATATAGCCTTTCTTTTACTGCCTTTGGTGCAAAGCTGTCTACTCTCAGACATTCCATCTGGCATTTTAATCAGAACAGTGACTGCCACAAGTCACTTTAAGTCCCCTTTTACAGACTTCTGTGTTTTACACATCAGAAAGTTGTTTTACTAAATTTGCTCAATTCTGTATCTTTTATTTCACAACTAAGCCCTTCCTCCCATAGCACTCTGAGTACTACAGAATCACCATAATACATTTATTCCCTCAGTCAGGAAGAAAAACATTATTATTTTTCTCATTACTTCAACTTGGAAACTCTGACCAACATCAAAACTGCCAGAGAAGTGAGCTGAAGGTTAAATTAAAACTCATCTATTTGACACTAATAGCTGACATGCACACTGGTCTGGCTGCAAGCCAGGACAAGAAGCTGAAATTACAACAGTGACTACAGCAATGGACCCTGCGGCTATTGGAGAGATGGTAGATAACCACCTTCATTCTTGATCCCTCTCCTAGGGCTTACCAGTTCCTGAGAGTGGAAAAGAAGGTAGGACTGAAGTCCAACACAGCAAAGGTATGGTATCAGTGTTAGCTATGTCCTCCTGCCTTCAAAAGTGGCTCTAGCTGGAGTAGTTGACTGAAGGGAACCTTCTGGCCCAGTCTCTCTACTCAGAGCATTAAAGTTCTCCCAAACTCCCTTTTGTTTCTCTCTACCGCACCCAGAGCCCACTAACTCCACTTGTCTCTAGCATTCTCTCACACTCATGTCAGACCCTTCCTTTCCTCATTCCATTCCTTTCAGGTCCACCTATTGCCCTGGTTCTTCTCACCAGAACACCCACTGGTGTTACCCACTCATCCCATAGGAAAAGCACTATGACCCTCTCAGTTGAAAGCCTCCAAATCCGCTGCAGGGCTTCTATGGCAGCAGCACTCCCCAACCTCTGTAAGTGGCACAGGATAAAAAGACTGTATACAGATAGCACTTACTGAAAACCAATCAGGACGAGGCTGCAGAGGAGAGAAATAGAAAAAACGGAAAGCATATTTGTGCTTTGAATTCCTCCAGAAGGAATGGTTCCAACAAATGACAGGAGGGGAATTCTAGCTTCAAATCTAGCTTCAGAATAATGTTCCTACCTGCACCCAAGGATCAACACGGTTAAGCAGTTTTCTCAATGTTAACATGATGCTATTAGGAAGCGTAGTTTGACAGCAATGACTAAATCAGATGGCATCAAGTTTACTTGTCCTCTGCCACACACACCTACATGTCAACGCAATTGAGGTGGCCCAGTGCTGAGGAGATGAACTCAAGCAAGAATATGGCAGTGTGTGGGGACAAAGAAAAGCATTTCAAAAGCTCTGGCAGCATAACACTGTTTTCTTTGACAAAAGGGAACAAAAGGGACACTCCCAATTAGTTAGTTAAAGCTAAGTGCCAGATTCCAATTCGGTGCTAAATTATCATGTGAGAATCTTTTTTAGTATTAGTACTGAAGACAGTTATACGAGAGTATAATATACCATATGGCATGAGAGGCTTATCAGCTTTACTCTAATGCACTGTAGAATTCTGGTTGTTGGTGCAGAGTCTAAATTTCTTTAGGGTTAATCCAATAAAATCTCATAGGAACCAGGAGATCTCAGCATTTTCAGTGCCATCCAGCAGTAAGGATAAAACCAAACATACCAATGTATATAACTGTTATAGATTACAAAAAGTCAAAATCAGTCTACCTCTCTCTACCTTCAAGAGGGCTTAAAGCATTGCTGGACTTTGTTCCCTCTCAACAGAGATTCTAATACTGAGGTGCCTCAGATTACACAGAACTGACTTTATTTTAGTATCATTTAGGATCAGAAGCCTAAGTAGAACTGTTTTTTTTAATAAGCTTTTGAAAGTATTAGTCACATTCATGTGAGAACACAGGAGAAATATGACAAAACCCAAATAATTTCCAAAATGCACTTCTTTTTATGCTGTCAATGCTCTTCCCCTATTATAGAACAAAGACCTAAGAGAACCCACATTAAGCAAGCACTATCGCAAGGGAATGTCTAGATACTGATACATAAACAAACACACATTTTTTTGTGTGCAGAACACACTTATAGATGTTCTCCATGTAACATTCACTTGATATTTAAATATTTCCTACCAAAACCCACATTAAATTTGACATACTGAAACTGAGCAGAAGAGCACAAGTCACATCTGGGGAATTGTATTTAATAGCCACTGAAGGCCAATCCACTTAAAACTTTCACTCAGAACCTAAACGTTAACTGCCAAGATAGGGAAAACACCCAAAAAGACAAAAGCAAAATGGTGTGCATCTTTAGTAGTCATGTGATACAGTCAACCCTCATGACACCACATGCTTCACCAAGTTCAAACACTAAAAGGAGAGGAAAAATATTCCACAAAGGAAAGGTCTCATCCCATCTCCAACATGAAAAATCATTGCAAGTTTGTACGACTACTATGTGTGTGTATGTGCAAGCACAAATACACATTATATGTAAATACAGAGTTCTATGCAAGCTTTTTCACTTGACTTAAGAATAGATAAATGCACAGACTAACCTTCTCCTGTTATTACTGCGATTTGCGAGCAAAAGCCCACAAATGTTAAGAAGTTTCACTAAAAAAATATTTTGGTTTCTGTTGAACATGTGAAAGAAGAATGGACCATTACTCAGTTTTCCCCTCAAAAGAATAGAAATCCTTTAAATACATGCAAAATGTTACAGACATTTGTCCTACATAAATGCCTGGGATTTCTTAATTGTATTTGTCTGGCTTAAGCAGTGAGAGCTGCTGGCCCTTAAAAGGAATTACGAGCACACTCTGCTTTTGAATTGCAAGAAGGTCCTACTCAAGTGTTCATTTATGTTATCTTTACCATTTTATTTCTGGAAAACTTACACCTCTTGTCCACATATCTCTGCTGCCTGTGAAGGGTAAATGCCCTTATTTGCATGTGCCTTATAATGCAGAGAAAATACATGCTGTAATTTAAAATGTTTAATTTACTTTAAAAAAACCCAAAACCACACAACCCCCCCTTTAATAATAGCTTTAGCAAGCAAAAAGCATCAGGACCCTTTTAAAGATATACTGACAGTTTTGGCCATGCACTAGAAATTATTTGCTTTCTCTTTTTACTGATAGACCATTTAAGGTTTAAGATCATTCTCTTCATTAATTCAAATTCTATTTTGTTCCTCCAGATTATCTTCCTACTTAAAACAACCCCTCTCTTTGTATTTAAAGGCTTCCTTTGTTTGAAAGGCTCCTAGTTTTGCTGTTGTACAATGATTTCTTCTACTGTACAAGGCTTGCTACTATCCAGTCACTAATAGCTACACATCTAAACCACATAGATGCTGTAGATGATTCTCTAATAGTGTTCAGCAGTCCACTGGATGTGAAAATCTACATTGAACCTATTAAATGCTCTTGTAGAAATATGAAGTGTTCAGTCCTATTGATTTGAACAAAACTAAGTGAAACACAAAATGTTCCATCTGAACATCAGGAAACACTTTTTTACTGTGAGGGTGACCAAGCACTGGAGCAGGTTGCCCAGAAATGTTGTGGAGTCTCCAGTGTTGGAGATACTCAAAAACTGTCTGGACATGGTCCTGGGCAACCAGCTCTACATGGCCCTGCACAGTTGTTGGACCAGATGACCTCCAGACATCCCTTCCAACCTCAACCATTCTGTGATCATTCAGCTGTCAAGATACCTGAGAGACCATATCTTAAGCAGATTCATGAGCAATAAGCTGCTACTACCATTTCAACAGCCGACCTCTGTCCACATGCAACATCTGGTTTAGTGGAACTACTCAATAGGATGACACACTGTGCGAGACTCATACCAGGTCTATTTTCTAGGATTAGTGTATGAATAAATACACAGGAACACTTTTTGCAGGACAAAGAGAGGCATAACCTTTTAAAAACTACTACTGAAATAGAAATACTGGAGATGGACCATCAAGTGGGTCCTTGTGTTATTTACACCTTTCCCCACTTGTTACATTTCTTCTTGAATTTCATGAGAATACTGAGGAAAGGGGCCATCTTTCAAAATTAATTTCTCTGTTGACTACTTTAATGGGATCCTGAGACTAAATAGGACTCTCAAACTGAACACAAGAAAAATCATACTAGTATTAATCAGAAAATGTCCCCAGTGTAACACATTGTTTTCACTAGCAGGTTGACTCAATGCTGCATGTGCTGGTATAAAGCAAACTACAAATACTCATTCATGTGCCACACAACTGCTGTGGAGCTGATTTTGCACATGGAAAAGAAACTATTTATCAAAATAAACACGTGCTATGTTCCCTGCCAAAGATCTACTCTCCAAAGTCTAATTTAGCAGAATTCTTTCCCCTCCTCTGGAGAAAATCTGAAGGGTTCCCCCCACAGTGAATCATTCCCTCACAGAGCCACGTGGTGTTTCCTTTGGCTATAGCTAGCAGTTACGTATTATAGAGCACATACAACTCAAATAGGGTAATGAAGTTTTTAACTCAACTTTTAGTCAACTCCTTTCGATGAAGAGTTGAAAATATGAATTTAAGTAAAGATTTTATCATTAAAAGAAAGGCCAGAATACAAAAAAGTAGCAACCTCTCCCTTCTAGTATGACCGTTCTTTGCTTTAATGACCTTGTCTCTCCAAAACAGATGACATAAAGAGACAAATAATTCCTTTTTTTTTTTTCTTCTTACTGATAATGTGAGAGCCTACATAGTACATATTCAGTCAAAGTGTCCTTTTAAAAAATTCTAAGATACTTACGGAGTCCAAACCTTCGGAAAGGCAGCAATTTCTTCTGGTGTATATTCATCTAACCTCTTGGGGACTGCACGTGGCTGAGGAATCTCTTGTAGAAGATTCTTCTGTATATCTTCTGGAATAATCTGAGGCAGATGAGAATAGTCTTAGCTATTCCATTGTTTAAAAACCACCACTACTCCCCCTCAAATCCAGACCAAAATTTGTCAAGACTACTACTGTGTTCTTCATACTAAGTGTTTGACCTAAATACAGAAGACAATCTTACCCATGTCTTCTATCTCACAATTTTGTGAAATAATAAAGAAAAAAGCATCAAAATTTCAACTATATTTAGATACAAAAATAAAAAGCAACTTGATTTTTCTTAATTTATCTTCTCATGACAAGAGTTTTGCTATTGCTAACACTCCCTCTTCACCTCCAAATCATACAGAAATGAAAATGTAACTGCATGACTACTCACATCTTCTGGAAACAGGTGAAGCCTCTGCATCATAGTTCTTCTCTGAAGGTTTTTTGGAAGCATTCTATAAACAGTCAGTTTAACAATCTGAGAAAAGATAAAATGGCAACAAATAATCAGGCTACAAATAACATGAAAAATGTAAGCTGTTTGCCTCTGCCCATTCCACAAGTCACTGAACCTCTTTTCAGTCAACTTCTTCATGCTGAAGAATCCTGGCACCACATTTAGAAGGTGCCCTAGACTTACTGTTTTGAAGAAGGAACACTTACTATAACAGCCATACAGAAAATTTCAGCTTAGAAAGTTAAGAGCTATATTTAGCATTGTGGATGGTTGCATATGATCATTCAACTTTGAAAAGAATTGAGAAGCTTATGGTAACTCCATATCCTATTGCATATGTATACACACACGTTATTGAGGAAAAAAAACCATAGGCTCTAATAAATTTACCAAGTGTTCTCAGCATCTAATTTAACACTGTAATTTGCTGTGTTTGAAACTTCTATATAACTAATGCATTGTATCTTAAGCATAGCTGACATACTAAGACACTGCATCATGAACATACTATACATAGGTATAATTTATTCCCTTGCTATTAGTTCCAGAGCAACAATCTCACTTCTGAGCATCAGGAACAAAGAATTTGTACATCTACACTAGATGATGCTTATTGAAAAGTAACAAAATTCAACAGGATTTCTCTTGGACTCTAGTATTAATGTCTGTAATTTAAATACAAAGCACATTGTTACAGACTTCACCCAGAAGGGAAACATTTGTAAATGTAAAACAAGGCATGCAACTTTGTAAGTAGAAGGAAACCCGCTCTGCCTGTGATCCAAGCCACCCAGACATAAACTAACTCCAAATGAGAAACTACCGAGGCATGATTAGCGCAATGTTAAGCTGAAGTCAATAACGCATGCTGAAATGCAGTGCACTAAGCACAAACACATCTCCCAGGCATCCAGATATTTTGAAAAGTGTACTGAGCAAAGTTGCTTCTTTTTATAAAATTAATTAAAGGAATTAAATCATACTTTTAGAGACAATCACTAAGTTCCCAGCTGGAACCATGTCATTAAGATAGAATGATCAATTGTTGCAAGTGAAGTTAATGAGAAATGCAGGTTCTTAAACTTGCAGGCATTTCTACTTGGATTCTGAAGTTAGTAAACACTCAAGATAGTTTGGCTCCAGTATTATTTTCATTTTGCCATGTACCAGACAGTAATGATGTCTGAGCCACTTGAAAATACTACTGTCTATACATTGCACCCATGTGGAGAACAAGATAGAGAACAATAACCTTGAGTTGAGCACACATGATCCCTGCCCCAGCAACTCATGGTAGGGACAAAGAGGGAACAAAGCCTTCGCTTCTGCAGCAGATCATAATTTCCTTGCTGGAACTCGTCAGAGACAGAATTATACCTCCCACCCCTCAAGCTCATTCACCTTGGTCAAGTAGATAAAAAAGAGAGGAAAAAGGAAAAAAAAAAAAAAAAAAAAAAAGGGGTGAGGTGGTGATAAACTATTATTTGAGACTTGTAAGAAGCTAACTAAGGAAGCTGGAGTGTAAATTTAAAAGGTCCTGCTATTCTGTACTTTTATTATTGATTTACTGCAAGGTAGTTAGTCCAACTACAGAACAGAAGGCCATACAGGGAGCTAGGACAGAGAAGGTAGTCCTGGAAAACCTCTAGCTTCCTGCACTGTAACTTCTGCCTCAAAGACTTCTTCTACAAGCCAAAGCAAATCCAAACCCAGCTCCTGGAAAGACCAAGTTTACATGCAGCTCCTTGCCCAAAACTCTGCCTACAGCCAGAACCTCACACTAACTGGGGTGATGACAAGTCAAAGAAGTTAGTAAAGTACAGGCTTAACTGAAGTTGTAAGGACTGCTTTTGCAACTTGAGTAAAGTTGCGTAACAGAAATGGCAGATCCAACCAGCAATATTTACAGGGTGTTAAGGGCTCTCCTGTTACCTGAACATGCTCAAATTTTACTAAAAATACACCAACCCTCAATAAAAAGATATGGAATTGCAAGAAAATGTCTGCTACTGAGCTCATGCAAAACCCAAACCCAGATTCAATGCTTCCTGAAAGCACACATCAGACCAGGCTATTTCTTTAAGGAATTAACAACAAAAAAAATCTCTACATGCTTGTAATACACTTCTAATAAAATACAATTCTTATTGTTTTCTTATGTGATTATCTTTACTTTGAACTATCAAAATAACAAGAGTTTAATTTTATATGAAATGTAAAAACCCCAGTTGATTTCTGTGGGATTTCAAACTGGTAAAGAGGTCTATCTACCCACAGGTCTCACTGCAGCCTTGATCGCAGTTTCAAACTAATTAGTACAGTCTAACAGTTTATTCAGTTATTGATGGATGCCTACTCCCTCCTGTCCCCAGTCCTTTATCTTGAGTACTAGCAACCTGTAAGTCTCCATATCCTCACTCTTAAAGGCCATGACACTTTCTCCATCAGGTAAAGACATTCACCATCAGATGTGTAACTCATTAACAGCCATCAGTGTCAATATTTGGGGATTTTTAAAGCACTGCAATGCTGTTTGCCCCAATTTCTTTTGAATTACGAAATTCCTACTGGCTGTAGTTACAATTGTCATCTTCAATATTGCAATACCTTTTCTCCAAGTTGGCTAATTTATATACTGACAGCATAGACATGCTCAGAATCACACAGTTATATGACATTACATTCCAGTTTAAAGGGATAGTTAGGAGTAAAGGAATCTGAAGGCAGCTCTAGTAAAACTCTTGCACTTTCAGTCCCTTACTACATGGTCTAACATTTTATGAGTACAAATAAATTAAATATATATATATTTGAAACACTGTGTGAGGCTTGAACATTTCAATTTTTGTGACAGACTTTGGCTCACATGCAAGTTGCAGACTATGCTTGATGGAGAACAAATTCTGAGAAAGATTCTTTGCCAGATAAAACATACTCTAAAAAAGGAAATCAACAGAGCAATACCACTCCTGGTCCTGAGAAGCACAAAGCAATTGGCCAAATTTCCAGAAGAAAGTCTACCATAACAGCTGAATTAAGTCCAATAATCACCAGGAAGCAACTCTAGAACATGGGAAGGACACAGCGCTCCAGAGAAAACAAAGTGATTAATTACAGGGCATAAAAACAAAACCAAAAAACAACCCTTGAAGAAATTGAGGAGATACACCAGTTACTCAGAGGTACAGTTTGATACTACATCCTCCCTCTACCAGGTCTTGGGTTTCTGTTCTTTATATGATACTGTTCTTTTCACCAAATACATTATAAAAGCCCAAAAAGAACTTCACCTTCCTACTTCTGAAAGTTGTATGAGTAGCACAGCAACAGTGAACGTACTTAACACTGCCGTAAGAATTGTTTGGTCACAGACAAATTAAACTTCCATTGCATGCCATTTTGCTTTCCACTACTGTTCAGCACTTAAAAACTCAGAAGTTTAATGTCCTTTAAATGACTATATTAATGTGCCTTGCAAATTCAAATAAGAAATGGATTAAGATTTTTTTTAAACAAAGTATTTATTTCTGTCTACTATGAAGCACAAGACTAAGCCAGCACTAAGACTTACTTAAAGCACCTAGAGGTTTTAAGGTAATAGGTTCCATAACAATATTCTCCTCCCCATGCCATACTAACTTCTGTGTGCCTAATAATCTGGACTTTGAAGTTTTGCTCTACTTAATTAAAAAACATTGCTCCATAGTTATAAAAGAAAATGCTATTATATCTGGTGTTGCAGTAACTGACTTTTAGTATGTACATATTATTATATCAACTATTGCTTACTGATGCAAAGAAAATAGGCTTTCAAATACCAACAGCAAGATTTAACCATGTTTTCTGTCCAAGGTTTTCTTCAGAAGATCATTATTATGCAGATATAATAGCATGTCTATACACGCAAGGTGTTGCTAAAGAGCATTCAAAAGGAGAATTAGAACATTTTAAGCCCCTTCCTATCAGTGCCAGCAGCTGAACAAACCAGAACCCTGACACCCCCGGAGGCTTCCTCACAGCAGATTTCCATAGAGCTTAATAATCTTCCCTAGCAGGTAACATTCGTTCTGAACAATTATTGCCCATTATTTCTTTGTCAGAGGCAATAGAGCCTTTGAATGCTGCAAAGGTCAATCCTCTCATTGAGCATTTGGTATTAGCCAAACATGATTTCTTCTTTTTCTTTTTTTGGGGGGGAGTTTCTGATGAAGAAACTGATGATGAGCCAAGTTTTGCCTACTTTTATAAATAGAAATAAAATAAAAATTGATTGAAAACTTTGTCTTAACAGGATTACTACCTGGTTCTACAGATTAGATCCGTGAACATATTTTGCAGGCATTTTAATTAAAAGCCGTAAGATTTTTCCAGAAAGTTTTTTCCAAGTAATCTTTGCTCCCTCTCAAATCTGTAAAATACAAAAGTACACCTTGTAGTCTTCTTGTATCAAGTACTTCAAAGCTTAATTTTGAAAGTGTTGGTCTCATGCCTATCAGCCTTTTTTGAGGTAAACAAAAGTTCTGCAACTTTTATTAAAAATAACAAAAAAACCCCAAACCTCTGTGCATTCTAAACACCTGCACCTCAAATAAAAAGGTTTACTGTTTTCTTTATTTTCAAAAGACTCTCTTGGCAAAGAAAACACCAAACCTTTCAAAAAGATTTTTCTTAGCAACTTACAATGGAAATTAATGCTGTTTGCTAATATATATCCTAAGAGAGTAGTAAATACCATACAGAATATTAGTATTATATTAACCTGAAGAACAGAGAGGCTGTTTCGAACTACAGCAACAAGCTGTTACACTGCACCTAAACAACATTTTTAATACTCTCGTCTATGGGTGGTCCAAGAATTTACACTAAATCTAAGTCAGAGAAAGAGAAGGCTAAAATGTGAAGCAGCTATTTTTTTTCTTCAATAAGCACTTCCTAAAGTAGCCTGGCCAAGTCCAATAGACGAGAGCTATTCTCTGCTATTCTCCACAAGAGCAGATAAATTTTAAACAGATTCACAGACGCTCCCCTCCCCATACCTCCCAAAGGAACTCAAAGGTGCTGAAGGTAAAAATGTGCTAGACTATTTACTTTTGATATCTTTTTGGCAACACACTGTAATTTTTACCCTACCATAAAACCACATTTTTCCAAAGTGCTGAAAAACTTGGCAGAATGAACATGGAATTTTAGGTTCTATATAAAACATCAATTATGCAGACCTCCTTTTGTGTTCACTGCCCCACATTAACATAGAAGATACTTAGAAGTGGAAAAAACAGTAACGTTTTGTCAATCTAAGGCACAAAATTATGTATCTCAGATTAAACGCTTATAATAGGCAGAGGGTTTTTTTTATTCTTTTCAACTAAGAAGAAAAGTCAAGGACTGGAAATGGTTGCCATGGGAGGTTTTCAAGACCAGTCTGGATAAGCCTCCCAGCAGCCTTATAGCTGACCTCATAGCTGACAATGCTTTGAGTAGGAGGTTGGACTAGAGATCTCCCGAGGTTCTCTCCAACCTGAAACATCCTATGATCCTATGAAAAAATGCACACGCACACATTCAAAATTCTTCTGAAGCACTAACTACTACCCGCAAAGAATATAAAGATCCGAAGTTAGTAAGAGAGATACAATGATGTTAACCTCCATTAAGCGAGAATATCAGACCATCATCCATCCCTATCTTGGTACCTTATGAAGGAACTAGAAATGATCAAGGATAACCACACTGCAGTAAACATGTCTTAAGTCTGACAACTTTACTTACGACTTTCAGCCCTCCCCGTAAACTATTTTGCATCAAATTATTAATTATAACCTTTTAATTAGCTATTAGCTGTGTACCATCTTTTCCTAAAACCAGTCTCTCTGTATACTAGAAACTATGTTTAAACAAAACTGTAATGGAGAAATATTTATCTTGGGGATTTGTATGTTTGAATTTAGACATACATAAGTAAAGACAGTGCTGAGCAGCGCTTGAGTCTTACTATATACACATATGGAATTTTACAAGCTTTAATCTATTTCTTACATAAACGAAAAATAGTCACATCCATTGCAAAATCTCTGTGTAACACCACGCAAGTTTACAAGGTGTTATGTCAACATCCTTTTCCTTGGAAGTAGTCTCTTCCATTAATCTAATGCCTTAATTTCTGTAACAGCACTATTTCCAAAAAGAATGGTGATTCATCTAATGAAGCACTGCCAGGATGAGTTAACAGGAGACAACAGGACCAAGGGCAGAGAAAAAGCAGTAGCCTCCAGGATGAAAACAATGCTTTACAGAATGAACCCTTTGATTCCGCAGATAGTCTGCTTCCTACAACCTAATTCTATTGGCTTCACAGGAATTGCATTTAACATGATTAAAACAGAAAAGGTATCTTTTTAACTCAAAGAAGTGAAACAGAGTGATTTATAAAAGTCTCCGCAATAACTGTGCATCATTTAGATCAAATTTTGAAGATCCAAATGCTACTTAGGCAAGGCATGGTTCTCTTTACAGTAATCCTTTTTCAGATTTTAATAGTTAGTTCTAAGAATAAAACATGTTAATAAAGCAACATCATAAATTCCACCTTTGTCATATTCCACCTTTGTCATATCCCAATGTATTTCACACCAAAACAAGTCAACTAGTAAATAAATGTTTCTAGCCACAAAAATCACTTGCAAGTCAAAACCTGTAACAGCTACACATACAGAATACATCACACCAAATTACCATCCACTATTATTAATTATGACAAAAATACATATGAGATATCTTTATGAGAGGGACATCCAAACACTTCATCTTCAATAGTATGAAAGAGTTAATTGCTGAGGGCTCTCCACAATTCTGTTTAGAAGAAAATTTGTCTCACTAAATTAGACCAAGCCTTGAGCCACATCACCGTTTGCTGAGCCTCTGTCCAACATGCTTTAGTTATTGGCAATGCATTTAATCCTCCTCTGCTTGCACAGAAATTCATCTACGAGTCTGGCAAGAAAAGAGGTATTTTGGAACGAATGCCAGAAGGTAATCTACAGAACATCCAATTCTCAGGCCCTAACAAACGAGTTGTGTCATACTGCCTCCCAGTGCACAGCGTCTGCCTGAAGCTCAAATGAAAAAGGTTGAAGAATCCATTTTAGACATGGAACTACCAGTAATTCCCAAAGGAATTACAACTACCTTAGAACCTGTTCACAAACGCATTTAAGTTGTTTTGAAAAGTTCTAGACAGAAAATAATATTGATCTGTGGGATTCCATTTCACTTTCAATAAAGAAATAAATTGCAAAACTAAAAACGAAACCCAGGCAAATTCACATGGCGGACCAGTTTTTTATTGAGTCTTGCACAACATCTTGCGTAAAAGAGTCTTGGGACAAACCAGGATTTCTAAGTCATAGAAAAAAATCGTCGACAAAACCCAAGACTTTTACAGCAGATAAAATTTCTCCAGGAAAAGAAGCACTTTTGTATTTTATATATAAGGTGACCCAAGCCAAAGCATTTCACAGTCTAAAATAAACATAGAAATCTGTTAATCTCTGTGGGCCTCATATCATGTTCTGAAACACTACTACTTACAAGAATTCAGTCCTCCAATGCTGACTGTTCAAAACCCTAATAAAAGTAATTTCATAACTGTGTAAGTCAACATCCCAAAATGTTCCTATCTAGCACCCTATTTTTTTAATCAGTAACACATCAACACTGATGTTCTGCAGAATTAATAATAGTCTAACACAGACATTTAGTAAAGAGCCCTAAGTTCAATGAAATACTTTCCAATTCTTTCTCAGACCATAAACACACAGCTTTGCAGAAAAGATTTACAAAAAATGAATTTTTTAACAAAACCTACAGTTGAATTCTACTGGGAGAAAGAGGCAGGTGTACCTTCTAACACTTTTAAGATTAAGATTATTCTTGCTGGCTCTTAAAGTAGTAGTGTCGTTAAGCTGAAGTACAGCTTAGCTGAAGTCCAACTTGAGGCAGCTTGCTTATGAGAAAGGTCAGACCTCTAAAACTAAGAGCAAGCGAATCGGTCATAAATGAGTGAAGGAAATGAACTTGATTTGCTCATTTGGACAGCATGGAAACATCACGAAAATGCATCCTCAAAACTCGCTGTTTACAAAAACACTGTCACAAGCCAAGCTTCTAAGGCCCTTAGCAGAATGTTCGTAATTTAGCTTTAGGCATGCAGGTAACTGATCCCTTTTGTTTAGGGGAACTAGTTAAATGGGGAAAAAAAAACAAAAACAAAACCAGCTTTACAAATGAAAGGGAAGAATGGGCAACACTTACAGCAGTTGGATCCTTCAAATGGAGCTGAGTTGCTGTCACTTGTTTGAAACCACCAGGATAGCTATAAAACCAGAACAAACATATAAGCTTAAGGCTATATGCTCAAGCATGATGTTAACACAAATATCACTACATCTTGAACAACAGCATAATGGTATTATAAGCCATTTTTAAAAGTTGTTCTCCAAGGCCAACAGCTATATTGATGATATTAAAGTTCTTTTCCAACCAAAATGATTCTGTGATTCTATGATTGTATTAGAAAGATTCTATGTTGTCAAGTATCTAAGTTTAACGCCATTTGCACTTTCTTATTTATTCACTTAAGTATTAAAAAGTTTGTGTTTCCCAAGCAGATGGATGTTTTTAAAACTGGTTATTAAATACACCATCACAGCTACAGAATACAATGGGAGTAAGACATGCAAAACTTGGAAATATTTCACGATGATCAAGACTCACAACCAGTCTGTGGCTGATATAAGAGACAACCATTTCGAATAGTATTTAATATTTTCTTACTATTTTAGCTAAACCTTAGCATGAATTAGCATATCTACAGTAACAAAATGTGACTTCCTGTAAAGAAAAGTGTACTGCAATGCATCGGTCTTTCTAAAGTCTATGTGATATGGTGGAGTCATGCTAATTCACATTTAAGCATATACTTTAAATGAATACAGTGGTCCAAGAAATTACACAGATGTCAGGTAAAGCTGGGTTTCATTTTGATTTAATTATACTACTAGGTATCAGACTAAGTGAAATGAAAATAAACCCAACATCATTAAAACATTCCCACTTAGGGAGCCACACAGATTTAAATATTTGTTTTAATTCTACAATTCTTTTCACTTACTCAAAACCAACTTAGCTACTCACTCAAGTGCTTTAACTTAGAAGTTTTTAGTGAAAATTTTTAAGATGTGATAGAGGTGGAGGAGAAAAAACCCCCACATTATTTCCATCAACTCTGAACAAGAACTTATCAGCAACTCAGCAAAGGAATTTCAGGATTGAAACATCAGTATAAGCAAAATTAGCTTTCTCAATGTGATTTATTCATCTCCTGACTGGATACATTTTAACACTTAGAGATTATTATCTAGTGTTGTCACTGTATAAAATAGGAGCAACTGTTCTTATTTGACTCAGCTGATAGTTGCCATACCATCTGTAATTGATTATCGCACTTCCATCTGTAAACAAGTTATGTCTGCCAGAATAATATATTACACCCTATTGTATACATCAGTACATCTTGAGAGTATCTCACTTCTTACTACTATTACAGTTTTGGTTTTTTTCATCCTCTGATTCAATAATATATCAGTCTTGATATTTACTATTAGGTAAATAGGTGCTGGTAGGATAAAGTAATTGAAGTCAGCAACTGTATATATCTTAAATGTGCAATGCCAATAGGAATGTCTTCTGTAAACAGAATAGTCCTGATCATTGGGTTCATGGTTCACACAAAACAACATGGCTCACCAAATCTGTTAACTTACTCAACTGCTCTGACTACTTTTGAGTTAGATTATTTCCCTAACAACATACAAAAAACCCCAAACCATACAACATACAAAACAACATACAATGTTGTTTCCCTAACAACATAAAAAAGGGAAAAAAAAAAGAAAAAGGCTAGCACCATTTTAAACACTATAACTATTAAAAAAATGACATTAAATTTGCCACTAACTCATTTGAATATTTATTATAAAGCTTACCCAGTATGTGAAGAATATACTTTCTGTTCCCATTTGTTACCAGAGAAGGCAATATGTCTTGTATTTATTATGACAACATGATCTCCGCAGTCACCTACAAGGTAGAAATTAGTGGAAAATATTAAGAGAACCATAGGAGCAATCAACCAAAATAGCAACTATAAAGTGTGCAATACATACATAATAGCACATATATATACCTTCCATAAAGGTCAAATTTAAAGATCTGAGCTTTTTGAGTCGCACCATCCGAATTTACACTTAAATACCAACCTTAATTACTATTTTTGTTAGTACTGTCAGGTTAGAAGGCAGGTGAGCAGGTAAAATACCATCAGACTATATCATTAAACCATTGCAATTATTCAACTAAGATCTGGAAATCTGGCTTACAGGCAACTGTATTATTTTATTCAACACATTATGCTGCATATGCACTCATATTTCAAAAAACCCAGAATAAAAAAAAAGGTTAGTTCTAAACAATGATCCTAAATAGTTTAATTTTAGCTTTCTCATAAGAATAGCACCAATGTTTACTGAAGGACAGAGTATTTTGTATAAGAAAAATGTCATAATTACTGCCTAGGGCTAAATATATAAAAGAAAAAAGAGATTGGGGGGCAGGGGTAAGAAAAGCCCCACAAAAAACCTAAAACAGCTCTGTTGGGAAAAAAATACACTTTCATCAATCAAGCAGAAGTGAATGTTATGGCACATACATATATGTTTAGTGTTATATCAGCAATTTTCACATCAAGTTTTTTAACTGCAAAGCCTATAATCTATCACCAATACCTTGCCACAGTTACCTTCATAGATCTTTACTAAGTGTTAATAAAACCCATACTCATCTCAAAAATATGATGAAAATATGAAAAAAAAATGTAGGTTTCTTTTCAGAAGTAATTATCTCGATCAGCTGTATAACCTATAACCACTCATTCAATTGGAAAATGTGTCCACAATTCGCTCTCATACACATTACTATATCAGAACAATATTTGATATTCTTCAAATATATTTGAAGAGGCTCAATTGATTAAACCATTTTTGAGTAGGTAACAAAGCAGCTACACTAAGAAGGACTTAAATTGAGCATGTATTTTTTTACAGGAGTATATAATTAATAAATGCAATTTTCACACCCTTTTTAAGTTTTCTACCATTTTTTAATCTTGTGTTCTTTTAAAGCTCTACTTTCAACTACAGCTAAAGTGCAATTTAAACATCTTCATTGTTCTTTAAGACGCAAGAGCAGGCTGTCCCCATGTGCCAAAAGAAGAGCCGGTGGGAAAGAAGACCGGCCAGGCTGAACAGAGAGCTTTGGCTGGAACTCAGGAAAAAAAGAGTTTATGGCCTTTGGGAGAAGGAGCAGGCAACTCAGGGGGACTACAAGGATGTCGTCAGGTTATGCAGGGATAAAATGAGAAAGGCCAAATCCCAGCTAGAACTTAATCTGGCTACTTCTGTAAAAGACAATTAAAAATGTTTCTGTTAATACATTAGCAACAAAAGGAGGGCTAAGGAGACTCTCCATCCTCTGCTGGATGCAGGGAGAAACACAGTGACAAAGGCTGAGGTACTTAATGTCATCTTTGCCTCAGTCTTTAGCAGTAAGGCCAGTTGTTCTCTGGGTCTCCAGCCCTCTGAGCTGGAAGACAGAGACAGGGAGTAGAGTGAAGCCCCCATAATCCAAGGAGAAATGGTTAGTGACCTGCTACACCACTTAGACACACACAGGTCTATGGAGCCAGATGGGATCCACCCAAGGGTACTGAGGGAGCTGGCAGAAGTGCTCACTGAGCCACTTTCCATCATTTATCAGCAGTCCTGGCTAACTGGGGAGGTCCCAGTTGACCAGAGGTTAGCCAATGTGATGCCCATCCACAAGAAGGGCCAGAAGGAGCACCCGGGGAACTCCAGGCCTGTCAGCCTGACCT